AGAGAGAGAGAGAGAGACAGAGTAAGACGAAGAGAGTGAGCAAGAGACAGCAAGAGAGAGACACAGAGACAGAGAGAAGGAAGCACGAACAGAGACACAGAAGGAAACATAAAGAGAAAAAGAGAGAGAGCGAGAGAGAGGGAAAACAAAAGAAGAAGAGAAAATGTGCTCTACGGTTAGCACCGCATCTCGACACTGTTCCCACCAAAAAAAAGGCAGCCTCTGTCTTGCTGCCATGCTGTGCAGGGCGCGGCAGCATTGGCCAGGACGTCGGCTTCCAAAGCCTTCAGATATGGCCGCATCCTCTGCACAGCTGCCTGCGTGGCACGCACGATGGAGATGAGCTTTTCGTTGAAGCTCACTTGGACATCGTCACCGTCCAAGTCTCCACCTGTCACAAATACAAACGTTTTACTACACAACACGGTCCTTGAATGCTCAGATAAAGAAATCCGGCATAATGTACCTTTCTTGCCAGACCAAAAACAAGACAAGAGACCTGCTAGCAACGTATTTCCGTAGCCGCGGTCACTGTACGTGATGCTGTTGTCCGCCAGAGCTATTCCGGGTGGCGGAAGCACAGCTTTGAAGAGCTGGAGGTCGGTGACTGCGTAGCAAGGGTAGCGCCATGCCTGCATCGACTGAATGAACCACCACAGGACGCCTATTGCCATTCTACTGGGCATAATCCAAGTTCAACGTATCAGTACCTACCTATAGCTATAGCAACATAAAGGTTCAGAAACTTAGACTGTCAGGCAACTTCACAAGATCTGCACATACACACTCAAGTTCTCCACAGCCTCACGGCTCACAGTAAAAACCACAAGCTTTGCTTTCTCAGACATGCATCCACCACAGTCCCTTCCATTGCAACGCCAGCCTTGACGATGTAGACCTCATCCGGCGCCAGCTTACTTGAAGTCTCGCACGAGGCTTTCAGAGTAGCTGCTCTGCCCGGCCTTGTGACAAGAGACAAATTACTCTTGACCGACTTAAGTCTTGAGGACATGCTAGCTTTACAAATCGAACAGTAGGCGTCCCACATGCGGAGGTTGAACTTGCCCCGGCGAATCTTGTTCCGAGTGTAGCGCAAGCTGGAGAGCCCGGTCGCAAGCGCAAACCTTGTGCCGCGCGCCCAGCTTCCCGCAGAGGTCTCCATTTCCTCTGCTCGGAAAGGTTGCGGATCCGTCGGCTCCTGTGACATGCTTCGGTTCGCGCTGCACAAAAGCACAGCCAAAAACATTCACACGCACACACTCACAAACACAAACAGGCTCGCAGAAGCTGCCACGCACCTCGTTCCGACATGGCGCCATTGTGACGTTGCGGAAATCCAGCCGCTTCACTGCGGATGATGGCCGAGGCTCCAGCACGGACAGGTCGGATGGATGTCGAGGTGGAGCAGTCATCCCCAAACTACAGTTGACCAAGGAGGTCTTTGTGAAGTTCCTGGCTTCTTCGAGCAGGTCGTGCATCATGAACACTTTACGCACGACAATTCCATACACCAGCTGTTTACGCTGCTGAACGCAAGAAACAGTCTTCTGAACATGTGGGACAAGATTTTGTCCTCCACTTCCTGTGAGATCTCTTGCCGCTTTCGGGCATTGGGTTCCAACAAGATCCGCATCTTCAGCTGCGCCAGCACAAAGTAGGAGAGTCCTGTTAGTTCAAGTGCAGCACATAGCCCAAGTCAAGGAGCAATGACATTTGGCAATCATTACCATCTTTAGTTACTGACAATTCTGAATTGATAACAGGCACTAACTATCAATAGTGGACATCCGTGGCAGGACGGCCATCGCAGAGGCCAGGACTTAACTCTCACGCAAGAAGAGAACGAAACAACGATCTTCTTGAGGGATTCCCTTGAAATTTGTGCCCTTAAGACTAGATAAATGTCCCTTTTTTCGTTTATTCTTCCGCTTTGTACGTTTTGATAAATTCACCCTTGGACTTAAAAAGAATCCGCTTTAAGGAGTAGACAAGTCTACTCTAACACTGACAAATGCCGCTATTACGGTTAGCCGTAGACAAGTTCACCTGCGCCCTAGTGTTTGTCCGCCTTACAGTTAGATAAGCTCAAGCTTACCCTGTAAACAATTCGCTTTTACGCTTAAACATTTACGCGCTTAGCCAATCTTTTGAAGTTTACCGGTTTTAAAGTTAGATAATATCACGTTGACCTTTCAAACTCCGCTTGATTTTTTCAGCCACCCAGGCGAGGTACGTGTGCATAAACATGTATATACATGCATATATACATACGTAGACACACACGCGCACACCTAGGCGACCAGACAACTGCTGACAGTCCTGGTGTCTTCATTGCTCTGGCAGTGGTGCGGCCAACGTCCAAGCCATAGACGATGTCGTCACTTCGACCAAGTGCCGAAATCTTGATCGAGGTACTCGGCACCAAAAACTTCATGCCGAGGTGCGGGTCGATGCAGATGTCACCCTTAACCTTATGAACATAAGCGCCAGAAGGCTGATGCACAAGCAGCATGCATCAGGCTCATTTTGCAAAAGGTTGGCAGTCCAAGAAACTAAAATGGTTTTGCCGTCCACGGACAGTACCCCTCGCACCTGCGTGATGGCGAACACGTAGCGCCTGCTCCGCCATTTCATTTCATAGTCGTTGTCAAGCCTGCAGATGCCCAGCTGCTCGGCAGCTTCGATGCCTATCTCCATCTGTCCATCTTTGCACTGGACGTTCACCTGCAGCAAGAAAACAAAAAGATCCAATCCAGTCGTCAATTTCACAGCAAGGTTCAGAAGCAGAGATGCTCACTCGGGAACTTACTTATTCGAAGGGGGACTTGCCTGGTTTTGCAGCGTTCAAACCAGAGGCAGGTTAGTAGACCAGTCCAGACAATGCAAGACACATATGCAGCACAGCGACTTGGTTCAGAAATGTATCCTCCGGAGGGGCTTCAATGGCAATCTCGTTTGGCCAGTGACAAGGGGCAGTCGGAGTGAGCACCAAGGCCATCCTGCTGTACATAGCCTCTACGGTGGGAGCTGCGTTGAGCATCCACCTTGCAAGCATTGTGCAGCGACTATAGTTGGCCCAGGCGCAAGGAGAACGAGCATAGACAGCAACCACGTTTCTACAGCTCCCACAACACTGCAGCAGTGCACCTCGCTGTTGCCGAGGCTTCAAGACCCACAGTGGCGTAATACGCTTTGCCACTCTCGCGAGTAGTGAGCAGCCGCAGCAACGGCGGCCAGTCTAGGTATGCACGTGATGAGTGAGCAGAAACCACTTACTCGATAAGCCCGCATTTCTGCAAAACACTACATGTTTATACTTCGCAAAATGAAGCTACATTCTCCACAATGGCCGGACATTGCTGGAGAACAAAACACAAGAAGCAGCAGCATCATGCCGTAGAATGATCGTGAGTCAAAAGTGGAGTCAAGAAACGTGGATGCGCAAAGCGAGTTCGAAGCTGCACTGGCTTGCGAAGTAGCTGGCCGAAGTTGGCGACATAAATTGTTGTCCCTAGCTCGCGACTCAGCCTGCAGGGCTTGCGCGGCTGCAGGAGAACGGCCCGCTGGTGCTCGCTCAAGACAGCCTTTCCAGTACAACGGGCCATGCAGGAGAAAGCAAGCAGACTGCACAAGTTTTACTTGAAATGTAACATGAAATTCCATCCGTTCCTGATCATCTTCACCGATCTCGTCAGTCTCGTTGGTGCTGTCACTGCCATCATTGCCGTTACTGCTGCTGCTGCTGCTGCTGCTGCTGCTGCTGCCGCTGCTGCGGCTGCTGCGGCTGCTGGAGCTGCTGCTGCCCCCGTCGTTGCTGCTGTCATCACTGCTGCAGCAGCTGCCATGATCATCATCGTCCTGAGGCAGCGACGTCGCACTTTCAACACAAGCACCGGAAGAGAGAACGGGACATACCAAGCGTCCTCAGCGGCCTGCGAACCACCACCACCAGCAACACAAGCATTTTGGCTGCTGCCAGCCAAGAAGTCTACGACACCTTCTTCGGGAGTTGATTCCTGCAACACCGTGCAATATACTTACACATCAAGAAGGTGAACGGGCAGACTCACACGCACACACAAACAAACACGGTCAGTCCTCAGCGCCGCACACGAAAAGTCCAACTTCTGCAAGCACATCTTGCTTTGTGCGCTGTGGCAGCTCCATGAACTTGTCAAGCTTTTGTTTCAAAGCCTTGCACTGTATTGACGCCAAGTGCAAAGAACAAAAAGAGCTATAAATTAGTGGACCGGAGTGCCCCACATGTGTAGCTTAACCTGGATCTGAGTAGGATACCATTAAATGGCTGGCGCCCGTCGAAACAAGAAGATGCATAAAAAGAGATGAGCGACAAAGTTGAAAAAAAAGAGCTCACACTAGATGTGGGAAACTATACAACATGCTCCGACCACACAAGTGCCACCAACTGGAAAAGTTGATCCTAGACGGAAGGTAAGCGCCCGACGCAGTCCTTCATGTTGAGGTCTGACTTCAGCAGCTTTGTCAATGTCGCATTCCAAAGCTTACGATGCAGCGAAGTCCATCTGCGGTTTCTGTTTCCAGGCTGCCTGAATTTAATATCAACTGCCTGCATTACCCGGCTCGAGACAACTTCGCGCCACAGCTCGTGCCTGGCAGGACACTCTTGAAGTGCATCGAGGAACTCGGGCAAAAGGAGGAGCTCGCAATCCATCCTGAGAATCCAGATTCATTACTCACATGCTGGTCCCTATCTCTGCCACTGAAATGGCACTGTACTGACGCATCAGAACTCACTGGCTGCACTCGGATTTGACATGTGACAGTTTCTTGCCAGTGGCTGAACCACACTGGCCGGGCTCAGGGCCCCGCGGGGCGGCACCGTTCACGGCACGCCGACGCTGATTGCGTCCCTTCATGGACGGAAAGTGAGCCCCAGCAATGCCCAAGCTACACTACGCAGCCGCAGCAACCGAGGCGCCAATGAATCTTTGCTATGTTACCAAATTGTTTTCCTCCGCATCCCGAGCCACTACCCCGGGACAACTCGTGTGTGAACGACAGCTACAGAGCGTTAGAGCAATCCTAAGTATGCGCCCTGCCGCATGCGTGTCCGCAAGATACTGCGCTGCAAGAAGCACTTCCCGCCTCTCCAAACCGGCGATCTGCGGCAGAATGAGCCTGCCATCATAATATGGAGACGTGTAAGCATGTTCGTAACCAATCAGCAATCCACAAGTCCAACGACATTTCATAGACCCACTTCAGGCACCCCTACCCAAGCTACACATCACATGTCCGAAGCACAAGCAGCAACTACAGCGAATGGACTGCCTGCTCGTATTTACGGATCATTATATGACAACCAAACAGCTCAGACCTATGACACAAGACATGCAGACTGACTTAGCCGTAGCAGCAGAGTGGCTGACAGACGATAACATTTAGTGTAGCCACAGAAATGCGAGACTTCAGTGACAAGGGTCAACCAGCCTGACTGAAGCAGCGAAGGTTGCATAAAGGACTTCATTATCGCCTACCCCTATCAATGAAATTGGAAAGCATTAGCAACACGAGAAGCCAGACGCAAGAACAGGAAGGAGCAAAGATTCCATGGTTCCCATGTAAGGGCAACCCCTCCATGCAAGAACGCCAAAAGCATGTGGTCTCCTCGGCACGTTTCTCCTGCGCATCACAGTGTCAGCGATTAAATCTCGACTGACCAGGCTGCCTGCTAGAGGTCCGTTCAACCTATGCCACTTCACGTCCTCCGGGTGGTCGCTCCCTGGCTTCAGGTTCGGAGCGACGGCTGCCTTGCATAAATGGTTTAAGTATGCCACACGCAACAGTCGAGCGTGAAATATCGACATCACCGGCGCGCGGCAGGAAGCTTTTTTGCCAAGGCACCACGGATACAGGTGCAGGATGACGCACCAACGGCTCCTTTAAGGCCAGCAACAGAGAATGCTCCACCGCCAAGACACAGCTGGAGGAAGCCCTGTCCGAGCCTCCTCGACGTCCGACGGAACAAAGTGCTGCATCATGTAAGCACGCTCCTAGACAAGATATGCATGCTGAGGCTCGAAACTCCAGACCCACAAGTGATCACACCGCTTGCAAGCTTTACAGGAACAAAATTTGCGATAGCCAAAATGGGACACAATGCTACACATGCCCGTGCAAGACTCAACCAAGTGTACACATGTATAGTTGTAGCGGTTCAGACATTCTTGATCAAACCGGAACCGTACCGTTTCACCGTTTGTTGGTACTGCACCGTAACCCCCTTCCATTCAACAGAAAACATGGCCAATAGACACATACACACACCACACACCACACACACAACACACACACACACGCGCGCGCGCGCGTGCGCACCAGTTTGGAGCAATGCTAGGGTCCACTGCTCTAGACTGAGACGTAAGGGCAAAAAAGAATGCAAGGAAAGCACGCCTCAGCCTCTGGACTCGCAGAAACTCCTTGCACCTGAAAGGATTCCCGGACTCGCAATGCTGCGAGCACAAGAGCACACACCCAAGCGTCCAGCGGTGTTGTCATGTCCCTCAACTGAAGATGGGAAAACCTGCAGAGCTTAAACAAAAAACGAGCCGTTCGGCCCACAACATGCTTACCTGCAGGAGTGCGGACCCCACCTCAGTAGGCGAGGAGATATCCATGTTGTCTGGGGCCTGGCACCCAAATCAAAGCATCAGATCAGCCGCTCCAGTTGTACTATGCGCCTCATGGATCTCCTCGTCAGTCTCCAGGTCCCATACAATGTCAGGATTCGACCTTGAGATCCGAGACAAAAAACCATGCACCCCGCATAGATTGGAGTCCCAAATATGAGTTTTCGTATGAAAAGAAGTGCCCTGCGCCCGCAAGCACGGAAAAACGTCCTGACCAAGCATGCCCATGGCATCAGTGAACAAGCTGACCCACCTCTGGAACACTTCAAGGTCCTTCTGTGATCGCCTTGGTTTGGAAAAACGAAATGCAGGGAGACAAGTCACACCAGTACTGCGCAAAACAGAGCCTTCAAAGAAGCATGCAGTGCACTGTTGCCGTCTCGACCAGGCTTTATCGAACTGAACAACATGTTCCAAACCAGGAAAACAAAACTCAACATGAGGATACCCTTTGTCTCTCAGTCGGCTTTCTCGACAGCTAATGCTTTCTCGCGGATAGGAACTCAAGCTGAATCATTGCATGCCTTGTGAAAAAAGGCTTCATTAAAAACCCGCTCTGTCAGCAGACATGCATGCACAGCGACAAGACTTGACAATAAACTATGCCTGACACCATCCTAGCTCCCCAACTGGAAACTGAGATCAAGGGAGCCCAGTCTCAGGGCCGCCCCCTGCACCAAACCAGTTTTGGACAAAGCAAAAATCAAAACTTTCGGTCAAAACTTGGTCAAAACTCAGGGACCCAAACCCTATACAATTTCTATAAACCCTGAACCCTGAACCCTAAACCCTGAACCCTAGCCAAGCGATCTCCTCCAACTCCAAGCTGAAGGTGCCTGCCACACCCATATATCCAGACCTGGCACAGATCTTTTTGGTGGGTTTAGGGTCTAGGGCTGTGGTCCAAGCCTGGTAAAGACTATATAGGGATAATGGAAAATGGAAACTATAGGGATTATAGGGATTGTATAGGGGGAATATATAGGGCTTATGTAGAGGTTATATAGGGAATGTTCTTGTTTTGTTTTGATTCGAGATTGGCCGTGCAAGGTT